GTACTAACACGCAGTAAGGAGACCTGGAAGGAAATGCCCCTCACGTGGCTGTCTCTTGGGGGGCCACCCCTCCTGCTGTCCTGGGTGCACATCTCCGGGCCCTGATGCAGCCCCCACCCGTGGTCCCTCCGCCCTGGGTTCCTGGCCACCCCTCCCTTCCCTACGCAGCACCACCCCCACCAAAGCGTGAGGGGTGTCTGATGCACCATGGCTTGGGGATGCCTGGGTTAAGGTCCTCTGGCGTTGTCCCCAGAGTCCCCAGCAGACAAACCTGCATCCCAGGGATTCTGCAGCCTGCCCTGGAGCACAGGGGACCCTGGGACAGGCAGAGGGCCGACCCCAGACTGCTACGTGGGAAGGCCCAGCCCCTGTTATCCCAGCTCTGCTGTTTATACGTCACCAGTGTCAGGGAAAACCTGAGCTGGGCAGTAGTCAGCCAGTGAAAACAGGACCATCGTCACAGGGAAGAGACCTCAGCGGAGATCCGGAGATCCGGGATCACTCTGAACCAGGCGGTCAAGTAGGGGTTTATAGCCAAGGGGCAGGTGGGAGCAGTGATGGAAAATCACCAGGAGGAAACATCCAGGTCAGGGGTTCTGGCTAAACCCACCAGACAGGGTTCCTGGGAAGGCAGGCCTGGGGCCGTGCATTCCCTGGGGGCGGTGGAGGCCCGGCCTGATCAGATCATGGAGGTGATCAGATATGGAGGAGCTCTTGCAGTATTCAAATGGGCCTTGGAGAAGGCTCAGAGCCTGGGGGTCGTGAGTTCAGCTGTGTCCTGGAGGTGGCCCAGCCAGGAGAGCCCGGTGTGCAGCAGCCTGAATTGGTTCTTCCTTGTCTCTTCCTGCTGGTCCCAGACTCCCACCTCCCAGCACCACCTGGGACTGTCTTCAGGCAAACAAGGACACTGGGACAGATGGGCCGGGACCACTCCTCTCTCCACCCCACCTCTGGAAAGAACCTGTTCTTTCCCTGAAACTGCCCGGGTGCAGGAGGGCCTAAAGCCCCGGCTCCCCGCGAGCCCTGTCACAGCAAGCCCTTTGTGCAGAGCCTAGCCCACCCCTCACCCCTCCACCCTGCTAGCAGCAGGGGACCAAGGCTGGAGGCCCCAACATCAAAACCCCCTGTCTGTGCCCCCAGAGGTGGGGACAGGGGCAGTGGGAGGAGCCGGGTGGAAAAGGAGAGAGGGTGAGAGATGAGGAGAGGGGTGAGACCCCCCTGCTTACCAGCCCCTCCTCAGGCAGAGACAGATTTTTATGACCTTTGCCTTCTGACCTTTGCCTCTGGCCATTGCCTGAACCAAAACAGCACCCCCCCACACACCCGCAGGGTTTTGGAGGGGCTGGTAAGCAGGGGGGTCTGGAAGACAAAAGCTCCCCCAGAGCACCCCTCTTCTGGAGCCCTCGAGGGTGTGGGCGGCAGCAGGGGAGGGACCCTGGCAGGTTGGGGCTGGGGCAGCCGGACCAGGTTCAGCCGTGCTCTGGGGGCTTGAGGGGGAGAGGCCCATGGGTGGGGGCACGATCGGGGGGGGCACCACAGGTTCCAATGCCCCTAAAACAGAGGGTACAGCATGGGTGGCAGTGGAGAGATGGCTGGGGTGGGGCCAGGTGCCCAGCAGGTACAGGGCAGGATGTGCAGATGAAAGACTGGGGGAGTGGAGGGGGGTGGGGGAGAAGAGGAGAGTGCCCATCTGGAAGTCACATCCCCAGGGAGAACCTTCTAGAAGGAGGGCATGACCATCAGGGTCCTAGGATGCTGGGAGGCCAGGAAAGATGAGGCTCCGGGGTGTGCATGGGGTTCGGTGACCCTGCGGTCACCAGCGCAGAGCCGGGCTGGGTGGGTGCGGGGTGGGGCAGTGAGGGGCTGGCAGAGGCTCTGCGGGGGTCTGGCCGCAGGGGAGGGGAGTGTCCTCCTGAGGGCGGCTGGGGCATCCTGGCTCAGGCCTGCCGGGTCCCCTGGAAGGGGGACAGTAGAACGCTCCCCTTGGCCACAGGACCAGCAGGTGGAGGAACAGTGGCAGCGGGGGACGGCCGCGGCTAGCTGGGGGCAGGGGGCTGTCGAATGGCACGTCGGAGGGGGCTTCTGGACACAAGCGGCCTGAGACCCCGACTGTGGCACAGAAAGGCTAAAGGGCTCCCCGGGGGGCAGCCCGCGCGGCCCACACTCCTGGGCCTGCAGCCCGGCCCCCACCGCTCTGCGGGGGAAGAGGCCGTGTCACCCAGGGCCCGGGTGGATGAGCGTGTCCGTCCTTCCAGAACACCAGGAAGGCAGCGGGGAAGAGGCGGGAACGCGCGGGAGCGAGGGGAAGGGGCGCCCCCACCCCCGGCCGCGCCCCCTCCGCACCCCGCAACGCGTCCCGCGGGGAGCCGAAGCCCCGTGACCGCCATCTATCCGGCCGGGGGTCCACGGCGAGGGTCCGCGGGTCAGGGGGCTGCGGGCAGGGCCGCGGCGGGGCGGGCGCGAGGGGCGGGCGGGGACCCTCGG